AACGTTTTCTAAAGAGAAAAATCTTCATCGATATCAGTTTTTAACTAAAATAAAATCTAAACTTTTTTCTCGAAATAATACTGAGTTTCATTACAATTCACGATTTACCAGTTTACCGATATTGCATGATCTTTTAACTTTTTGATCGAATTTTAATTTCGATATTTTTGTATCAATTTAAAGCATATATTATAATCTCAGCTGTTTTTTTGGAGTCTTCAATGTTTGACATCGTTTTAAGGTTAATATTCTTGGAGTTTATTGCAATTTCAAAATGTTTTCGGGTTTTTGTATCTGAAACTCGCAGCTTAAGTTTAAACCAATTCGTTTGAAACATTTTCCGGCTGATTTTAGAAGAATCGTTTTTGGATTTTCAAGTCATTTATTTTTTCTTTAGAAATTCCTTACATGTTAAGTTATTCTTTTTAATTCAAAAATCCTTTTTTTATTTTATCAAAGTTAAACGCCTTTCACGGAGTATACGTACAGATAGTTTTTGCCGCCAAATTAATAGTTCTACCCGCGCGCGCGCCACTAAATCTACCTTGCAATGCTTTCCACCCTCACCTTATTAATTTCATTATTCCTTTACTTTTGTCTTTAAAAGCAATTCTCTGGCTCCATATATAAGGATTACGATAAATGTCAAATATCTAGTGTCTTATGTTTCAACTAACTTTCCTCTAAATCCTACACAAAAAATACTCCAATTGTAAATAGAGTTCACATTGGACATTTTAGACATTTTTGACAGAATTTTCTTTGTGAATGAAACTTGATAATGACTTGAAGGAACTCGGTGCTTTTTGACAAAAAATAAAAGGTTAAAGAAGCTTTTTCGGAGAGGAAATATTTGTCATGGTTGTACAACGAGTTTTGTTAGTGTTACTTTGGTTATAGAAGATGGGATTACAGATGTATATCAATACCTAATGTAAATCTTACATGTATGCACTCAAGTAACTGAAGTCCGCAGGTCAAAACATTACTATAAGACTATCCTTTCTGTTTCTGAAATTTTTCGCTAAAATGAAAACTATTGATAAAATAATTTTACAACAAAAAKAATTATACAAATCGAAAAAAAATTATCCAACTTTATTTATTTTATTTTCTTAAATGTCACTTTAAAAAGAAATCTAAATTGTCAAAATGAAAACAATTGGAATAAGATAATATTTTAACAAAAAAAATAATGGCACGAATTGAAAAAAAAATATTCACACTTTTTTTTAAGTTCTATTTCTTTTCAATTTTTTATGTTTTGACTTAAAATAATCATACCGTTAGAAGTTATTGTTCTCGAGATTTTTCGCCAAGATAAATACAATTTATAAAAAATTGATACCGAAATTTTAAAACAAACAAAAAAATGCAAAAGAAACTATTAAAAAAAACTAAAAAAAAATACAACACACATCTAAAACCAAACAAAACACACACACAAAACAAAACAAAAAAAAAAAAAACAAACAAACGAAGAAAACAAACGAAGAAAACAAAAAATAAAAACGAAACAAATGAAACAAAAACACTGAAAAAAATAATGAAAACTAAAACTAATACAAAGCAAAACATTTAGACGGTAACATTATAGCAGTTTAAGAGTATTTTTACACCGTTAGACAAGCGAGTGTATCGCTCAAAAGCCTGCCGGATAAATCTATCCTTTCGCTGGAAGTACAACTGTTTCAACTGCCACAAGTTTGAAAAGTTAAAAGAAAATTTGACCGTTGTAAGGAAGTACCTTCTTGAGTATCTTGTTACTCGATAAATACGGAATGGAATTTCAGTATTTTTAAGATTACCGACAAGGTTACAATAACATTAGATTACACGACTGTTTGCTTTT